AGCAGTGCATTGTTGGTATTTATTCACTGATTCCCAAGGATTGTTTTATCCCGGTTATTGACACCGAGGCAATTTTAGTGCCTTGCAAAACTAAAATTGCCAGGCAATTAATTTTCTATTACAGCCCTAAATCTGATGTACCAACAATAAAGTGCTGCATAATTGCAAAGTAGAAGTAAAAACATGTGTTGCATTCAATGTAAAAATAAAAATATTCTGTGATTATGGCTCGTTTGAATTCTGCCCCTTTTAAATCACCCTTTCATAAAATCGAATGCGGTCAGCGGATTGGCATGACTGTACTTGCCAACATGGCTGTTGAGCAAGAAGAGAGTAATCGGAAGCCCCATAATACCCTCGGAGTTGCTGCACAGATCAGCAGCTGAGGTGGGAAAAAACTGCTGAGAGGCCGACCTGGTCGTAACACTGGCATTTGTGGAAGAGAGGCAAAAAGAAAGCCGTGTGGAGAGAAGTCTGGTTTGCAGACTGTAAAGGTCGTGTGGGGGACACGCCGGTCTGATGGGACGAAAAGTGAGATTTTTAACCTACATTTAAAATGTTTAGGGGGAATAATTACGCCACCGACCATCTCTGTGGTGGCGTCCTCAAGCTGTCGGTCCATGTAGAGAGAGAAGCATCTAAATCCGGTTTAGATTTATGTCTGAATCTTTCCTGGATTTCAGTGTCTGAACAGCTTTGAAAACACTCCTGAGACAAATGGCTGATTTAATTCATTGGTTATACGATTCAAGTGTGTTGAAGCCGATATTTCAATAAGACCACATCAGGACCTCTACTCTTAAACCATTTCAGTTTACCTCTGTGGGTGGATTTGCAGATTGACCTAAAATATGAATAATATTGATAAGAAGCCAGTATTTGAATAATACTGACACTGGTATCATTCTGGTCTTATTGACATGCTAAGATTGATACTTTAGTTTCAGATTCTCACTCAACTCTACCTCAAAAAAGGTTTTGTTTTTTAAATGTGTTTTCAAATTGCACATTTTTGCCCTTTTATCACAGGAGTCTATGCACACACACCTTTTTTGCTTTTCTGCTGTTTGTCATAAAACACCTCAAGGTCAGAAGGCTGATAATATCTCAAGCATCTGAATCTGGACCGTGAAATGCGTTTTAGGGTTCTTTACTTGCTGGAAAGTGAGCCTTGACCCCAGTCTGAAATCTTTTGCTTCCTCAAACATGTTTTTTTTTCCAGTTTTGCTCTGCCCTCCCATGCTGTCAGTTCTGATACCCTGTCCTGATAAAGAAAAGACTCCCCATGTCATGATGCTGCCACCACCGCATGCGGGTAACGGGTGCTGTGTTCAATCTTCGTCTCTGACCGGAGCACCTTCTTCGCTGCGTCTCCTACGCTGATTGTGGTGAACTGCAAATCATTTCTGCAGCAATTCCTCTCCTGTCGACGTTGTTTTTATGTCAGCAGACGTGTTGCTCCTCCAGAGTCGGCATCGCTCCACTTTATGCAGATAATAAATGTTTACTAATTGAGAGGCTGTTGACTGCGACTGGTGAAGCTGAACTTTATTTCGAGTGATCGCGGGAAAGGGGACTGAATACAAAAGAAATCCAAATAAAATACATTGATGGTTGTATGGTTACAAGTGCAAGGGACTATTTGTGAATAGATGTGAGACGGTTACACTACAGCACCTGAAGAAAAGCCAGCCGATTAACATAATGAGTCCAGAAGTTGAAGCACTTCTGTCTAAAAGTACCTGGATCTTTACGTCATGACATACTGGAGCCTTGATCTCTGTTTTGGTTGAAGTAGCTACAGACGTATTACACAATCACCTGTTTGTCCACTTCTCAGAAGTTGCAAGAGGCCCAGGATGATAGCCGGGTTTTACCGGACTTGACTCACTTCAAACACACTTCGTTCAACTCCTTCTTCAAGTTCCCGTCTTCTGTCAGGTGCCACGCTGCACCACCAGATTTCATTTTATTTTCTTTTTTTGCTTGTTCGTTTAGTGTTGGAGTAGACACCGAGGCCTCATCACTTCTGGGAGAACACAGTTAAACCAGTGAAATCCCTCGGTTCCCACACCGCTTCAGAGTCCGTAAATTCAGATAAGTGCTCTGTAAAATGGGTCAGTGTGTATTACATTTTGGTGAAAAACTAGGTGGTTTTTTGCTTCTGCTGGTTTCCAGATGTCTGCCTTTTTTCTTCTTTCACAGTTTTTTTTTTTACACTTTAAATGTGTTTAGTGTTTGATTCTGTGTTTGTTAGAACATTAATACAACATGGTGTCTTTTTCTTTAAAAAAAAAAATCAAATTCAAACACTTGAGGCCTTTCCAATTTGAAATGCATATCTTTTAATTGCCAACAGTCTTTTTTCGTTCAGCCTAGTATTTCTTCCATTCGTCTGAAGCAAAGTGTTTTCAACCGCAAGTATTAGTTTCCACATTTTCTTCCTTAAAACCGAAATAACTTCACTCTGGCATGAGAAAGTCAACAAAAATAACAGCGTTGAACCTTAATGGGGGCAGCTTGACAGACCAGGAAGTGTGTGGTAGTGTATGGCAGGCTTTTGCACACTTGCCCATGTGATGGATTAGTCTCCAGGCAGACAAAGTATCCCGCTCAGAGGGATCGTACTACCAACCCGAAGGCAGCGGGATAAATATTTGTCTTGGGTTGTCTCTGGAATGATCGAATATTATTACAGCCTATAAAGGACTCAAATGCCGCGTCCCGTTCAGAGCCTGGTTTTCAATCTTATTATACCCTTAAACTGCTCATTTAATCTGTATTGATTGTTTTTTTGTTTCTTTGCTGGTTTAATTCTGATCGTAGTCGATAAACGGTGCAAAAATGATTGGTATTGCATGTGTGGTCTGGTGTAAGAAGTCTCTTTTTGTCTCTGGGGTGCACTTGTAAGTACATTAGCATCCTGGGTTTGGGGTTCAACCTGGTTTCCATCACTGTGTTTACACGGAGCACCGGGAAGCGGCTGATTCACATCCTTGTTTAAATGATTGGCTCTGTATTCAGCTCTCTGACCATCTGTAGACATCTGCGTCTGATTTTTATGGACTCTTAGCCACTTAAGATCATCTCTAAACTGCCTGAGAAGCTCGTCCGAGTTTACAGAAATGATTTCACCATTTGACCCACTTCTGCGGCAAACGCTCCGTAAACGTGCACTGTGGTTGTTGACGGTCTGCAGCTGAGAATAGCTCCTCAAACTCCACAGGTTCATGAGGTTTAACAAAAGACACAAACCAACTTGTAAAAGCATTCACACCTGCAGAGCTTTTTGTTTTTTGCAACCAGAAACTGCAGCGTGTTTTAACTGGGGTTTTGCTTCACAGGCTATCACAAAGCGGCGCATAGTTTTGGTTGTGAAAGGAGGTGCGTGAATGATTCTCATAATGTGCAAAAAGAAAATGCACATGTGCGGAAGGCGATTTTATGATCGGTTCAGATCGCCCGCTTTTCCTCTGATCCGCCTGTAGAAAATCTAATGCTACTCGTCGCCCTCAAACGTCTTGTAAGCAGTAAAGAGAGCCGACATCTGTATCATTTAGTTGACCTAAGTGTGTTGGGAAGGCCTCACACACCTCAGCAGAAAGGTCAGAGGCACAGATGAATAGGGCAATATTCCTATCCACCCAAACCGACTGTGTGGACATGCAGAGATCTACAGCTCAGGTGGAAGAACTGCTGCAAATTACAAGTATAATTTCACAAATCTGTTAAGAAGAAGGACATAGCTGAATGAAAGTCTTACCCATGTAAGCCACTCTGTGAGGCAGCATCACACTGCGTGGATGGACGGATATAGCTGGCGCTTTGTGACAAAATGTTTCAAATAACAACATTAAGGGGTGTGAGTACTTTTGTGAGGCACCGTACCATCTAGACAGATCAGAACATGCTGCTGTCCGTTGAAAATTTCTACCAAAAATGGCATAAATGTGAGCTTCAGCTGAATGCCTGATTTCTTTCTAATGTTGCTTTTTTTCCCCCTTCTCTTCTCTGCGTCTGTCTGGAGGCGTTCTGTGATTAGCTCATGGCTTTCCCCCTTCTGACTTCACTCACTGGAGTAACGCTGACGCGAACTCATGATTGACTGATGAGGACGAGAGGAAAACTTCCATCTATCTTGGAGTTTTGCGTCAGCCTGGCAGATCTGCTGCTGTGTCTGGTGTCCTAATGCTAATCTCCCGTGTGTGTGTGTGTGTGTGTGTGTGTGTGTGTGTGTGTGTGTTTTACAATAATCGCAGCCATTATTAGTTCCTGTTTTCAGAAGCACTCACTCTCTATCTGCCCTTTAGGTGATTTTACGTGTCGCATGCACACCTGTCCAATCCAAAACTGTTGTTTGAAACTAAATACCAGTCTGCCTGCTCGCTGAGCTCATCGTTATCAATCAGCCAGCGGAAGCAGGGAGTTTTCCTGCACCGCAGCAGAACTGACTATGTGAAGGATGCAGAAGGACTGGATGCAAATCAAAAAGATGAATCAAGTCCGTAATGAAGGGAGAAACAGATGGAGGGGAATATATCTACTTAACGGACTCCTTTAGACTGCAGGTTATAAAAACTAAATTGTTACCGGATACCCATAAGTCTGCTTTTCCTTCTTCCCTTTTCTGCTCGTCATCATTAGCTTCTTATTCCTGGAAGGTCTGTAGTTTCTGCACCGGTTGAGAATATCGTAGCTCCTCTCAGCACAGGCATCAACGTGTCTGCAGGAGTCCAGGAGGCGTCCTGACCGCATACCCAAAGCACCGTCGGGATGTTTTGCTTTTTTGCGATTGGCTGCTTGTGTGAATGTCGAGACAGTGAACGGAAGCTGCAGAAAGTCTCCACTTTCTCCACGTGATTATGTCACGTCTCACTTGTGAGGTTTTACGCTTTGAAGACGTCCATCATACCGCTCAAACTGTGCAACTCCAGAAATGTTTCTCATATAATGACATGTTTTGCACAAAGAAGTTGTTTCAACCCAGAGGAGAACATGCAAACACCATGCTTGAAAACCAAAGGCCGGGATTTAAACCCAAGACTGTCTTGCTGTGGTACAACAGTCCTAACAAACACATCACTGTGCGACCAGAGTCCTTTCATGATCTGAAATAATTAATTCGATCGCACAGTCCATAGTCGCATCAGCAACTCACATCAGAAGATAATGAACTACACTACAACTACTGAACTCTCAATAATTGAAATATATAGAAACCACACACATTTAATCAGATTTTCTTTCTTCTCTTGTCTGTGCTGCTTGTAGTCAGAGTCACAAGTGGCTCCTGATAACAGAAACCTCCCTGGCTGTCCATGTGCGTCCCAGCTGTGAGGGAATCGCTCTGTTTTTTTTTTGTTGTTTTTTTTCCTGCTGCACACAAACACGACGTTTTACACACTCTAACCTGAGGAAATGGGATTCCTCATGCTCGAATCACAGCTGGATCTGGAGATGGAGTGGTTTAACACAGAAAAGTAAAAAAAGAAAAGAAAGAAAGACACGGAAACCGTTTTAGACCCCTTTGATTCTCTCTGATTCCCAATAAACTGAAATTAGCTGCTGACATCAGAGCCACTGCTTCTGTCCAGACTCCCTTCATTTGTCAGGCAGGTTGCGTGTCTGTCTGCGGAGCCGAAGTTACTCTTTCAGTTTTACTGCCATTTTTTTTTTTGTTTTTTTTTTGTTTTAAGCAACTGTGCACCAAAAAATAGACAACACTTGAGGCACATTGCCAATCCAGGGTGTTTGCCTGGAGGGATGTTAACCGCCTTCTGGGAATTGAGGCACATTGAGCGACAGAGAGAGAGAGAGAAAAAGAGAGAAGGGCAAAGACTGTTAACTGCCTTTCCATACAAGGAGAGGTGAGGGGCGAGTGGGGGAGGAGAAAGAGAGTGAGAGGAGGGTAATATGAGGAGATACAATGAGAGAGAGAGAAGGTAGGAGGAGAGAAATCTGGAAGGAGATAAAGGGAGCCCTCCGAGCGAAAGAGACTGATGAGGTTGTGCCAGTTACAGTGGAGAGGAAAGTGAGCAGAGCTGAATCCTCCCTGTGGTTGTGCTGCTGCTTCTCCGACTGACCCAATGCAGGTAGGGAACACACACAGAGCAGCCGTCATCCATTCAACACACACCGAGATGTTCTAGTGGTCTGGAAGCATCCGGGAAGTTTCTGTCTTTTCTTTTAACCCAAAAAAAACCAAACCCAAAAAACTGATTGTAAATGTAAGCTAAATGAAGCAGGTGTTTGTGTGAATACTTTGAATAATCAACATCAACATGCAATTCATGAGTAATTGCAGGTAAATACATCTGAGCGTGTCTGTGGTTGAATTTGGAAATCAAAAGCAGAAGACGAATATTTTTCACAACAATTCAAGTGAACATGACTTATTATTATTAAGATATGTTTGCATTTTTCTGCTTTAAAGCAAGCTTCTGTATGCTTTGACGAGAAGCAGCCAAAACTGAAAAAATAATAAAAAATTTGAAGATATATATATATATATGAATGAATCAGAAACAATGAATCAAAACAAACAATCTACACATTTTGCCAATTTTCCTTTAGACTTTTCGCATATGGCGACCTTGATAAAAAATAATGGTTGTAAAAGTTTTTTTTTTTGTTGCTAAAAGTTAATTTTTTTGTCCAAGTCATTTTTTGGAAAATAAATAAAGATATTATTTATTTATTTTTGCAAAAGTCACCTTTGGCAAAAAGTGACTTGGGCCATTATTTTAGGAAGGTGATAATAATTTCCCTCTTAGGGAATATAAGAGGGACTCCACCCACAAACTGTCCAAATGTTCGTCCTTTCTACGCTTTCTGTTGGTAGTGTATCTAAAAATACTTTAGAATAACCAGTTTTTGCACGCAACATTTTGGCAGCCTTAATTAAATTTCTCACCTCCTGTTATGTCCCCACCTGTCCAAGTGTCCATCTTTCTCCTTGTAGCTCCACCAGAAATCTGCACATGGATCATGCATGCATGAAAAGGATAATTCAACACAGATGGTTGCATCTTTGTTTTTGTTGTTGTTTTTTTTCTCGCCCCGAACAAACTCCTGATTCTGCTATTGTTGCCCAATAAAGGACTTTCAAGGAAGAAATAAAAAAGAAAAAGAAAATTACCTTCCCTGTCAGCTCCTTGTTAAAAATCTGTGTATGCGTGCAGATCTGAGTGACCAAATTTATGGGACGAGGTTGAATGTTTGCATTATCGCTGCATGAAGCTGCTCTAACAGCACAGGGAAGGTGCCTGAAAGGTTTTTATTGTGTCTTATGCCTGACAGGGAAAAAAAAAAAAAATCCTCCTCCATGTGAGTCTGTGCTGGCTGATGAGATCATCGTGGGCCTGGGCTGCAGGTGCAAATGTGTATTTTTGCACGTCAGAATCACCGTGAGCTCTCATTAATCCATCTGCTGGTTATTTGTGTTAATATTTACATGCGAAATAAAGAAACAGCAGGTCGTCAGCAGTCTGTTGCAGCTTTGGTATGTGTTGCAGACTTCAGCCCATGTCCCTCTTGAATATGAGATCCAGATCTCAATGGGGTTTACCTGGTTAAATAAGGGAAATTAAGAAAAAAATGAGTTCAGGAGGAAGGTCAGAGGGTTTACAAAACCAAAATAGTGTTGAAGAGGTAAGAGAAAAAGAGAGCCAGTTTTAGGAAACCTGTACGTCTTTGTAGAAGCCAGAGAAGTGACCTTAGGAATCAGTTGGACATGCAAACCTTTGCATGTCCAACTTCTCCCTGCAGTGATAAAAGCTGGGCTATGTGTCTCCATTCTGCAGGTATTTTTACGGGTGGCAGTTAAACTCTGCAATGGTTAATCTGCTTTCAGTACAGATGGGGAACTGATCAAAAGATCAGCGACATGTGAGGCTGCGGTCAGAAAAAGTGTCAGAGTTGGACATTTAGAGCTATGTTGGCTGAGTAATTCAATCTGACCTCTGGAAATAGACCTCAGGGACAATATGCAGCAAGACATGGGTGTTAGGTGTGTCGATGGTGTGTGCGTGGACGTGTGGGTGTGTGTGTGTGTGTGTGTGTGTGTGTGTGTGTGTGTGTGTGTGTTGACTCACCCAAATTTAACTGTCTGGATTCTGCAGCTGCTTGGAGTTTTAGCAATACTATAGAAACACACCGGGTTGGCTCTTTGCATTCTTGTAGAATGTCAATAGAAAGAAAAATCTTCTGCTCTCAGCTTTAAAGTTTCATTTCATGTTTAAGTTGGCTTTCAGTAAAACGAGAAATCAAACGTGGTCTTGAAATTGCGTTTCTGTCTTTATTTGTGATGCAATTCGGACGTAAAGCTGAAAACAGAGAAGAGCGGGAGGAAAACATTTACGTCTGCATCAAAAGTGGAGAAATATGTTGAAATAATGCAAAGGAAGAAATCAAATATCAAGCAGCCAACACTGCATGCAAATGTTCCAAAGCAAAGTAGCTCGAAAAATTTGTTCACATTTTTGCCAATAAAAAGTGTGGAAAATTTGCCTGTTTGTACTTTAGTATTAATATAAACCCAGCTGTTCTTTGAAGGCGTCAGATTTTTATTATTAGTGAACAAACAGCCGAAAAGCTCGACAGAGAGTTCAGGAATAGAGTTGCAATGACGTTCAGAGCAACAAATGCAAACTTAGCGAGACATGAATCAGAAGAAGTGCCATTTGCACTTTGCAACAAGTTCTGCAGGAAACACCAGGAAGATGGTGCTCTGGTGAGATCAGACCGAAACTGACCTAAACGTACACGAAAAATGTTGTGCTGAAGAAAGCTAACATGGCATTAGCTTTCACAGTTTAATATGTCACATCGCTCATTAACCCTGGTGGTGGCAGCATCATGATTGTGCAAAAGGCTAAAAGTAGGTAAGGCTTCACCCCAAAAAGACTCAGGGATACTGAATCCAGTCTACGTAAAACTCTTGTGATATTTACTTGTGAAAAATGTTGCCAGTCAAAAAGCCTCCACTCCAATCACCCTCATGCTCCACTTTGTTTAGTCGATGCTAAAGTTGCAACACGTGGGCGTTTTTGGTTACATTGTGACAAAATTTAGCAAAGAATTAATACTTTTAGAAACCCCTGCTTGCTCTTAAAAAAGGTTTTAACCTCAAACACACATAAAATGGAAATCAAGTCGATGATTTAAGATGTTTTAACAATTTTCACAAATGGTAATTTGACCGTTTGGCATTGACATTGTGAACTTCACACTGCAGTCTGACTTTTGGCCATCATCTGAATAAGGCAGAGAACTTTGGCTCAAGATTTGGGAGAAATGAAAAGGCACATTCTCCCTCCATTACTCTCCTTAGCCCTGTTAAAATATATAAAAGGTGAAAAGTGTTTGCAGCGATGGCTGCGCACGTGCCCTCCTCCCCTCTCTGCCTCTAAATAGAGCGCGAGTCTGTCTGACTCAGCTGCGGGTCAGTGGATGGTCAGTCGGTGAGGTCAGATGGATTTCACATGCAGCCTCAGACATGTCATATGTGCCGTTTTATTTCAGGGCAGCTCCTGCAACACACTTTCCTGCTGAATATTAGCTGTTGTTGCATAGCTGGAGATTGGCTGGAGATCAACACACACACACCGTGCCCGGCCCAGAAGTTGAAAGCTCAAGGGTCAGGAGGTTCAACAAGCTTTGTTCTCAGATGAAACGTCTGTGTTGTGATACGAGGGCAGGGATGTGGAATTTTCCCCGTCTCTTTTTATTTTTCGAGGATTGTCCAGGGCTTGGCTTCCTAAATGTCCGGGCCAGTCTTCCTTTTTGTTTCCTCCCAAGCCACGATTATGTGCCCAAACACATTTGATCTTAAAACGTGCCTCCCAGTTCACAGTTTTGACCTCCTTATCGACCTTTGTTCGGGAATCATCTCCAGCTCCGACATGCAGCTAGAGGAATAACGCAGTTTTTCATCTTTCATTCCATGCAGATGATGTCTTCAGAGCACCAGGCGTGTGGTTGGCTGCACAAGCTACTCGTTTTGCTGGTGAAGCTTCATTTCGCGTTTGCCGAGCCTCCGCCACCCCTCAACGGAACGGGCTGCACAGCCAAGGGTCCCGCTTCCTACATCCTGGTGTTTACAGGTCACTGGAGCCCACAGGCGTTTCCAAAGCAGTATCCCTTGTTCCGACCCCCAGCACAGTGGTCCAAACTCATAGGTGAGAAAAATATGGCTTTTCTTTAGTGTTTTTTTTTTTTTTTGGAATGAAATAAAAACGTCGTATATAACACGGGTAGAAGATTTTATGACTGGTGAATTATTATTATTATTTTTTTTAAAAAGAAAGAGGTCAAAGAAACTACCAGATGGTGTTTCTCTTTGTTTTTCTGTCGGCTGTCAGACAAATCAGATGGTTCCAAAATGGGCCTGAAAAGAGTTGGGAGTGTAAACATGATTACCTAAACAGGTGAGTCTGATTAACTGAACGTGTTGCAGATGTAAGGAGAAGGAAACAACGCGAACAGAGATCAGAGGACACGAAGCGGATCACAAAAACAAAAGTTTGAACCAAAATCTGAGGAAAGGCTGCAGGAAAGAGCGTGACTAAACAATGAAGTGATCAGAAAACACAAGAATTCAGCGAAATGCACAAACCTGAAAACCAGCATGACCAACAATACTTAAAATATATATATATATATATTTTTCAACATAGAACAACTACAAGCCTTCATCAACTCTCACCAACACAGTAGAAGTAGCTTTCACACAGCTAAATCCCTTTTCAGTTTAAATCACTATACTTTTCTGTGCTTGCACCAATTTAGGAGACTTAAGGTTTTTGATAACTGCCTCAGCTGAAATTTGAACTGCACGTTTACACAAATATGATTCATATATCTACACATGGGCCACACAACGAGTAGCTTTCAAAGAGAAATTACTCAGCTCCTGCTTTGATCAGTGCTTTCAAGCACAAGAAAACAAATAGATCCTTTTCACGTTGTGTTGCTGAGAGTTTAAAAATCAAATAAATAAGTAGCGGAAAAAAAATTTAAAACATAAGAAAGTGCCAAAGCAGTGGTCCCTTCTTGTTTGTAATGGTGATGTGCCAAAATAGGAGAAGGTTAAAGCGAGTAATATCACAAAATATTGGGGACATGGTGGCAGCAATGTCTGGTTTCCAGGTGGCCCGGTGATGCCATGGAAGAGGAGAGTGTCCTACTTATTCCTAACAGAGACAGGCACCAGCGGTTCTGACATAATTATTTCCATGGGCATGGAAAGGGTTGGTCTTTGTCACCAGGGAACAAAAACACAAGGGCCTCAGTGAGTCAGACGGTAAACTATAGGGGACAATAAAAAAAAAAAAACCAAAAAGCTGCAGCAAACGTCAGTGGGGGCATCGGGCCGAGGACGCCGAAGGACTGGACTTTGTCATAAATGAAAAAAAAAATACTCAAGCAATTTAGGAAGGGTTGGCTTTGAAGTCTTGGTGGGGCATAAGTGTGATGCATTATCAAATTTCGGGGGTTTGATGCTAGTTAGGATGGAAATGCAATTAAGGTCCACAAGTAATGGCGGTATGGGGGGAAACAAGATAGTGTGTGAAGTGTGCTAGGCGAGTTGTGCAACTAAGTGTGTGCTCATACATGTGTCAAGACTATTTAAGGTTAAAATCCTGACTCTCTGTGTGTGTATGTGTGTGTGCGCGCGAGTCTTTATGCAGCTCTGAAAAGTGAGGTAAGGCAGAAAAATCAGAGCATTTGTCAGCGTGTTTCTGGCTAACCTTACTCTGCCCTTAAAACCACGGGCCCAGGTCAGCGGCTTTGTGGGTCTCCAGAACCTGTGGTTCGAATCTAAAACTGGGCTCTTGATTTTTAACAGATTTCTGAGATAGCCAGAGCTTTTTAAAAGAATGTGAAGAGAAAGCCTGCTGGCCCAGGCTGTACAAAAAGCATCATTAAGGGTTTTCAGAATTGTTAAAATAAATTGTTGTCCAACTTCTGCCTGCCAAGTCCAGGATCCTGATCTACATCCTGGCAGCCCCGGCCTGTGTTGCGGTTCCTGCAGGAAAAGACGGAGAATATAACCTTGCAATAACACATGCACACCAGCAATTCCCCCAGAATTATCAGTTTAAATGCAGGAAGTAGGAGGCAGCCGTAGAAGTACACTCAGGCTCCGTGGTGGAAATGATCTCATCGTCTGGCTCAGGACTCTGCGGAGCTTCATCGACACTCAAAAGGAGTCAAGTGAGCATGCATCTCACTTATCTCATCTCACATTTCTTCAATTGCTTTTTCTCTCTCAATAGCGGCGAGCCACAACCACCACTTCAGGCTCTGGGAGGAGGGCTCTGCAGCCAGTCCCGGGGTGCAGAGCTTTGCTGAAGTTGGGGTGACGGTGGAGCTGATGAAAGCAGCCAAGGAGGCCCGGAAGAAGCGCACGGTCGGAGTTATGTACCGGACAGCTGGGATTCCCAACGGGATCGGACACAGCTCCACAGAGATGGTCCTGGTGCCCCGCAACCCACTGGTAGGAGACGATGACGCTTCAAAAAGCACATCCACACTCACGCAGTCCCTTTGAGCTGGGTCTGCTACACCGTGCATCCGCACCCACCAAGTAATTTCCTACTTATTTCCACTACACCCTGTCAGACTTTGTTTAGACCAAGTGCCTGAGTTCAGTAGCCGCAAACGCCTACATCCATCCTGCACGCTTTGCTCTTAGTCTGAACTGGAGCCGAGGGAGGGGCCCATCTGTGTAAGGTAAATACCAGTAAATGCCAGTTACCTCAACATAAAGACTGCAGACACACAGAAGCGGCTACAGTTTTCCTGTCTGAGGGAAGGGAAAATTGGCCCACCAGTTACTTTGCTTTTTGTTAATTAGCTTGTTAAACTGGGAGCTAGCGTGCTTTGACTATGCACTACCTAAAATAAGACGTATCCTGTTATTATCACCAAGCACAAAGATAAGGCATGCGTCCGCTATGCTTAACCACAATAGATCAGTTTCACCAGCCACACCCAGGCCTGATTACTGTAGAAATCAGAAATCCCTGAAATAGAATCTATTTGACAATGTGACACGGGATAAAAGATACCCAAGAATAGCTAGAGAACAAAGTCATTGATATCTCTCGTCCTGAAAATAAGAAAAGAAACAAAAGCATTTCAGTGGGTTTGGGATTCCAGTGAACCACACTTGGAGTCATCATTCACTAATGGAGAAAACATGGATTTGTGGTGAACCATCTGAAAACTGGCCAGTCTTCCAAAATTACTCCAAGAGTGCATAGACGATGCACCCAGAAGGTCACAAAGTGCCCAGAACATCATTTAATGCTCTACAGGCCTCTCTTGCCTTTAGAGATTAAGTCAGTGAATGAATGTCCCGACACTGTTGGTCAAAACTTGTTGCTGTGATTGATTGAAATTATTTCGCGAGAAACAAAACATGTCAAAACCATTATTGCCGTTTAGGGTTGCGCATCTGGGATGAGTTTCTCCTGCTTGGACGCAGCGCTTCCTTTGTCCAAATGGATCGTTTTTTTCGCTTTGAACCAAAAAACGTCAATGTTTGGTCTTCTCTGTCTACAAGACATAATTCCAACAGTCCCCGTTCTTCTGCACGTGATCTTTAATGAAATGCAGATGAGTTTATTCATTGTCAATCTGGGCTGGGAACAAACCGCAGATGGGGCAGCGGGGCTCTTCTCTGACAGTAATCGCCTTTTCCCTGCAGGCCCTGCAGTGGGCGCTGTTGTTGCTCAGAGTTCCTCTGATGGCCGACTCACGAACGTGAACGCAAGCCAACGCAAGAGAGGGGCCTTCACTTGATTAGAGGTTGCTTCAAAACCAGATCGTGGTTTCAATATAAATGTCTAAATCCATTTTCGGTCATCCTCACTCTGCGATGCTTAATGAAAAAAACGTCTTCCTTTTCCTTTGTTTTCAATTAGACTTTAAAACATTTCATATGCTGGATGCTGGTATGAATAGATACAGCAGATATAATCTGATGCAATTTGGTGAGTATGATAAGTCGTGTACTGACCCGCTGGGGGAGCCAATGAAATCTTTCATAGTTCATTAATTTTAATAAATAGGCAACATACACGTTCCCTTCCTCTGAGATGTTATTTATGAAGATGTCTGTTGGCCAGAGTGGCTTTTACATCGAGAAAAATTCAACAAAGAATTACCTCCCTTTATGTTCAACGACACGTAGCTTTTTTCGAACTTTTGACTGGTCTGGGCTTTTCTTGGTAAAAACCTAAATGCTACTAATGCTCTTCTGTGAGGCCAGGCAAACATCTGGCATGTTGAAATAATTGTCTCAGCTCAGTTCACTTTGTATTTATTTGGTGATTATTCACATCAGATGTTATCATAAGCCACATTACAAGACAAGCAGGTCAAATTCAAATCTAATTGTACGCAACCCAGTTTGGGTTTATGGGCTTAGTAAACTATTCATGGTCAGCCAAACACTTTTACAACAATAGCCAAGTAACATGGACGCTTTCCACTTTCTGTGCGAAATGTTTGTCAACATGATAAGGGGGGAAATGCAACAATACCAGCAACAATACAACTCATATGCTCGACTGGATTTTGAGTACAAAAGTTGTAAATTTACTGGCGCTTTTATAGGAGTTTGTGTGGATATTTGAGTCAGTTTTCCCTTAAGAAGAACTGCTCCAAGTTCATCCTCATGCTGTTAAAGATTTGTAAATCATTTTTAAGAAGAAAAGGTCAATGAAAACAGATGAATTGTGTAAAACATATTTCACAGTTTTGATACCAGCAAGACAATAATGAATCTGAAATTTAAAGTGAAAAGTTGTCTGATTAAATCTGTGGTCTCTGTTGAGGCGATGTAAGGTTGTTGCTTTTCTTTGATAAAGTTCTGATTCTGCTTAAGCCCGCCAGCCGATATCTGGGCTTTTTAGCTTCTTGATCAGCTGAGAAAGAAGGTCCATTCCTCTTACTTCACACACATATGCAATAAAATCTGGGTTTTTATCCTTCCGCCAATCTGTGCAATGACATGTGTCTTTCTGTTTCAAGTAAAAGGAGTTAGATTCTGTTTTTTAATTTAAATTTCTATTGTAATTGCCCTTAAAAATGTCCTTTTTTTAAAAGGTTTTTATGTCTAGAGAGTCTCCTGCTTGCTTTCGGAGACTAATGCTCTGAGTCCTTGAACCAAAGAAAGAATTGATCACTCTTTAGGTGAGCATTGTTTCTGTAAGCATAGGTAATGTACAGCACCCTGCCGTGTTGTCTTCTAGGTATGTGACATCTGTGCCGGTCTGTTTTTAGATCAGATAAGCAAAGCAAAGCCCGGCTATTGAGTGCGTTGTGTTGGACATGATTTAATGACGTGATCCAGCTGATAACTTAATCTGTGAGCATGTTGCACTGTCCGTTGCGCTCTCATTTATAAATACCGTATCATTCCTTTGAAGACAGCCGATGGTTTACATGACATCCGCCAGGAATCCCAAACGCCACTTCTGTCATCATATATCCAGCCATTGTTTAATGTGGAGCTCAACCAGATGGAGACGCAGAATGTGAGCCATTTTAAGCTGCTGGAGAGGCCTTCTGCTGGATGCCTTCTGGTCTTTGAAAACGGTTTTCTGCGATGGACACAGGGTTTGAAGATTTGTCTTGAGCAGATGCTATGTAATGCAAACTTCCATTCAGCTAATAATAAAGAAATGAGCCGAGAGGCGGCGTCTTCCAGATCAGCTCAGGAGAGCTTCAGAAAAGCGTAAGAGGCAGGAAGCTCAAAGATCAAAAAGGAAGGACACTGATGTTTCTAACAAGCGGCAAGACTTCTTTTGGTTTAGTCTTTGCTTTTCAACATTTATCATTGGAAGAAAACTGAACACTCGTGTGTCTCATTCCTTTGTCTCAGATCTGCTGGTCCCCGCTCTCTGTTTGGTTCGACACCAGCGATTCATTCAAAGCCCACACAAAAACCGACTCAGACTGACAAGATGAGCAGCAGTTGTCAAACCTTTTTTTTTTTTTTTTTCAAAAATGGAGAAGTTTTCAAATGTGTTGCTGTCTGGTCTTCTGCCATCACTTCAGTGTGTTTTGACCCTGAACCCACTCTCCGAGATGAGATCACCGTTTCTCAGGAAACATACATCATACGGGAGACAGACGGGGTGCACGTGCTCACATGCCGACTCTGTTTTATAGTCGCCAAATCCCTACGTCGGCGCTCGTGTGTGTGATGTCAGGCCTATTGCATTTATTGTCCTGGCTGATGTTACTGTGATCTCTGTGATTTCATTCATTCTGCACTCATCTCACTTTCCACAGCAGGGGGATTTAAACAGTTGCACAGTCCAAAGTGAACTAACGGTTAATATATTAAAACAGCAAGTGTTTTCATTACATTTCAATCTACATGTCAAAGTATAAAATATTTTCATTAGAGATAAGAGCTATTTTATTCAGCATCGAATAGAGTTCCGTTTTTTCTTTTTTATGGGGTTATGTTGGAAGATGATGACTGCACAATATCTTAACTTGCATGTGACGGAACAAGACAGTTCACCAAATATCCTCTGTGTTTTAGATCTGCACTTTGACTGGGCCATTTTAGCATATGATTTGATGCATGTGCTGTATTGTTTAGGATTTTGTTCTGTCGGAAGGCAAACCTCCACCACTGTCGATTTTCAACTTCAAACATGTTTTTAATCTAGGAGTGCTCTGCACTTTAGCTCTATCCATTCTGTCTGTATTGGCCAGAAAGTTTGGTTTCATCTGACCAGAGGTCCTTCTTCTGCCTCCACTTTTCTGACGTGGTTTACAGAATACTACAAATTAGATCTATTTCTTATAACCATGGCTAATATTTGTGCAGTGCAGCTAATGGTATGCAGAGTCTCGCAGCTGATAACGCTACTGATTCTTCATAGTGACAACAATGCTCTTCTTGGCTGCTTCTCTGATTAATGTTCTCCTTTCCAGCCTGCCAGTTTAGGCGGACTATCATGTCTTGCTTAGGTTTGGAGTTGTGTCATAATTTTTCCATTTTCAGATGATGGATTGAGCAGAGCTCTGTGAGATGTTCAAAGCTTGGGGTTTTGTTTTATGACTGAACTCTGCTTTAAATTTCTTGACAACCTCACCTGTTTTGCACTTGGTTGCTGTTTGTTCTGTAATAACAAACCTTCGCAAACCACTGGTGGTACTGTGTTGTATTTAGAGATATCACAGAAGATATCACACTTTTGGATTTTTGTTTTCAGTGTAAAACCGTATAATTTTTCTTCCATTTTACAGTGAACTACTTTATATTGGTCTGTCACATAAAATCCCAACAAAGTGCAATAAGGTTGTGGCTTTAAGGTGAAGTACAAATTTTATGAGTACCTATCTTGTGGTATTTAACTTCCTGGTAATCTGGTCATCCCTTTATACAAAATTATGACAATTAGCGTTTCATAGTTTTTCAATTAAACTCTCTATTTTGGACATCGATGTCTAACATCAGTGTTTTGTGTCTGACAGCTGTCTTTGATGGTGAAGATGATCCCCAGCCCTGACTGGTTTGTCGGTGTGGACAGTCTCAATCTTTGTGAGGGTAACCGGTGGAAACAGGAAGTGACCGTCGACCTCCAGCCTTATGACGCAGGAACGGACAGTGGATTCACTTTTTCTTCTCCCAACTTTCCCACCAGCCCCCCTGAAAACATTACAAAGGTAGGGAGAAACCATCATCTGTTTATGTCCTTCATTAAGCTGTTGGTGCCTCAAATTCTGGTGTCTGTCTTGTTTTTGGAGTACATAAGCAGAGTGGGAACGGGGCATCATTCTTAACTGTCTGTGGCTGAATGATTGCTTGGCAGCCCTCATGTCTGACCTGAAGTGATTTAAATAAAAAGGGGACCCTTATGTAACAGGCTATCCATCCTTTTGCAGCATGTGCTTTAAAGCTGGCGAATGTGCACTGGGGGTTCTACTGAGAATCTGTTGCTTTTTCTGATGAACTGCTCGCTGACTGCTTTTCAGATCACGTCACAAATGCCAAACCATCCAGCCAATTCCTTCTACTACCCTCGACTAAGGGAGCTTCCCCCTATTGCCAGCATAAAGATTAGCCGACAGCGTCGAACACCAGACCGCCAAACTTCTATTTCTAATCACATTCTGCCAAACTCCATCAATCCTCAGCGTTTCTCAGGTAATAACGCAAAACTTTTCCTCACACAAATATTTATACCCCTGAAAGTATTTAGACTTTTTCCTACCAGCTATTGGTAGGAAAGTAGCTGAAGCTGCTGTTTGAGGTTGAACCGCAACAAAGAGGAACCCAACTCTGGGTAGAGGTGCTTCCCACAAGCTCTCCGCTGACTGCCTCGGTTTTAGAGTTTACTAGCATGAGGGGTCACTTCTTTGTGGCATTAGGTTGCAAGAGGGAAGGTTCTGACCTTTTGCACTGAACAGCAGTTCAGATTACCCAGCCTTCTTGGAGTCCAAAGAATGTTTTGCAATTTAGCTGAGAATGAGTTGATCACAAGGTGAGTCAAGTGTGCTTGATACCAGGTCATCTTGGACTGAAGGTCAATGGTCAGTTTTGTAATCTTATCATTTGACCTGCTGCGGCTGAAGAGAGGGCCAGAGATATCGACTCATTGCCACATGGTAGTGAGCTGAATCCAGTGGCAGGGGTTTGTTAGGCAGATCTGGAGAAACCAAGCATATGTTGAGAGTGAGCTGCGAACATCTGGTGGAGAAACCTGTTCAACTTATGCCTCCTGGAGAATCTCTCTCATCCCCCAAGGGAAGGTGGGGACATAAAATCTGAATGGGCCAGGACCTTCACTGCAGACATGACTTTCGAGAGCCATGGCCTAAATTATATTGCCGTTTGTTGTGTTGATAACCAGAGGATCTGCTGATGGTTGAAGAAGGCCTGGAAGGCATAGTTGTCTCTGAAGACTGTGAAATAGCACAGGTATAGAAAAAACAAGACAGACTGCAGCATCTGTGTTTTGTCTGGTTTTGGATTAGGGATCTGCAGACCCAGACTGATGCTATTGTAGATCGGTGGAAAGAGCCAGGATTGAGGATCTCCTCAATCCTGTCTCTTTACTGTGAAGGAGTCAGAAACTGAAGACTCGGAAGAAGGCATTCCATCACGGTAGCAGAGATCACTGAGGTAGTTAAATAGCTCTGCATTGGCAGGATGTCAACCGACGAGGATGAGATTCTGCATCGGTCAATCATAGTTAATAAACCTCTTCAGTGCAGCCTATTGAAAAGTCTGCACTGACGAGTGAAGCCTTTTCATGACAGTTTAGTGGTCCCATTTTTTAAGACAGGGGACAAAGAGTGAATCCCAACCCTTGAAAGATCACACTTCTCACCCAACCTGGAAAAGGCTAGACCATAGATTTACTCTTCCAGAACAATATAATCCATCTGTTTGTCTGCCTGAATGTATATGGCTGCTGCAGAACAGGCATCATTTGGGCAATGTTTCTTCATTTTCTTGTTGTCTCTCTCTCTTTAAACACAGCAACACCTTTGGATTGCGAAGTCTCCCTCTGGTCCTCTTGGGGTCTGTGTCTTGGTCCCTGCTCCAGACGTGGAGTTCGTCACCGCACACGTTACATACTTCTGCGGCCGGCAAACGCTGGCAGCCCCTGCCCTGAGCTGGAGGAGCAGGACGAATGTGTGCCACACAACTGCATAAAGAAACGGCAGTAATTGTCAAAGCAGGAGCATAAAAACAACCAGTGATAAACATTGGACTCTCACGCTATCAGTGCTGGACTGGAAAAACGTTTTACCATGTTGAGAATTTGTCAGATTTCTGAAGTGAAGCAATAAGAACTCAATGTGTATTGTCACAAAAAGAGACGTCTGCAAATCAGCAGAACTAAGAAAAAACAGAAATCTCTTGGAAAAAACTGGTTGGTGGACGAAGAGCAAAGAGTTAAAATGTTATTTAGTCTGACGTTATTTTTACAACTGTTATACAACCTGTGTTTGCCCAAAGGTTGAGCCGTTTTGTAAAATGTAAATAAAAGTGAAATGAAACCATTTGTAAATTTCCTCCAAAAATATATGTTTCATTCAATATGACAGAAATATGAGTTAATTTGTGTTGAAACAAAGAATTTGTGTGACATTTTTCTTTTTTTTTTTTTTTCAAATAAATGTGCATTTTGTTGTAGCATTCATGTCAATACTATGTTACAAAAGATGGGACAAACATGGGGGAAGATTTTCTAGTGAACCAAAATCTAATTAAAACACGTGAACAAAAATACCTAAAAGTATATTCATCTCTAAAGCCAAATCCAGTCATCCTACAGAAAAAGCTTTTTGTTTTTCATCTACTTGTATCTGGGATCTTGTTGGAACATAGACGGACAGTAAATTGAAAGTGTTCCTTGTCTCGGTTTTCTTCACTACATCGGACCAGAACAGAACAGCACCGACATTACTGCAAAGCATTTATCTGACAATCCTTTCTCCACTCTATTACCATCAGAGACCAAGATACTTTAAGTCCTTTGCTTGAAGCAGGACAATCTCCATCTGACTGACAGCAGATAAATCCCCTTTTTTTCTTGACATCAACAAGATTAGGAAAGGATGTTTTTGACATGATGCTTGTTTCTCATCATTAAGTTTAAGGATCTGTGATGGTTGGATGCTCATAGCAGAAGTCACTCTACATCAACGAAGGAAACACTGATGCTTCACGAGAAGTACATGTTTAAGAAAAACTCACACAAGTCCTCATGTTATTTCATGAGATTTTAGGTGACTTGTCTGAGCATTTCTCATATTAACAACAGATAAACATAATGAAGAGGAGCCAAGCAGTGGAAATCATATGGACAAATGAATAATGCACTTTTTAATCAATGTTGATAAAAAGTTTCTTTACTCACTTCTGCTCTGTGAGAGTTAAGGCACATCTGTCTGCGTACTAACTTAAAAATGGCTTGTGTCCAATTCAAAATGAATTGTAAAATACTTTAGGAGTTTTAAAGTTGTAAGAAAGAAAAGTATTATTGCTGCACAGATATAGGTCACATCAACTACATTCTTACATGAGCACTGCTCTTACATGTGCACAGAAAGATCCACACTAAGATCCATTGACCTACAGCATACCTTCACCGGAATATAGCAGCATTGGATTACATGGATAACCTACACATGTTTAGGTTGTAAATCTCTTTTAAAGTAACTGTAATCCCATATTTATAAATATCTCCTGCCATGAGAATTAACCAACAGGGTGAATTGATATGTGAAGCTTCTTCAAAGACCAATGTGCAGATATTTAAAAGAACGGCAGATTGGCACACAGTCATGTAAAGAAACTTGATATTAAATAATCACGAGAAAAGTTCACAGATTTATGTATATTCTAGTAATTTACTGAAAAAAAGTGATTTAACTGCACTTAAAGGATGGCAAGTAACCTTGTTTTACTCACTGAGCGAAAAACACAAAAAGAAATATATTTCCCAGCCAAGAAAAGTCAGGATACCCTAACCTCCTAAAAGCTAACGTTTCTCTATTTGCCTGAAATGGGTTGAGTTAGGAGGCTATTGTAGCCATCTACAAGTCTCTGGCATCTGTGTGAGGAAAGGTTCAGCTGCTTTTCACCTTCAGGTGAGATTTTAAGATGTTTCTTCCATGTTCAGCCCCTGTACTGATCTTGATTTGAAGGACAACAATTGGGATTAATAAAGCTCCCTTTATAAAAGGGATCAGATGTCTTATATTTGTCAATTTTTTTATATATAATAAACTTGAAATGTATATTGTTTTTGTATTTCGCCATGGCAAATATTATGCTGTATTACTACAGCAGCATAATACAGCTGCTGTATTACTCTGTCAGCAGCTTACTTTCAAAAATCAGTGAAACAAAACAGCACCCCCTAGTGGTCACAATCAATAGCATTCCCTAATCACAACTGCTGCAATTAACTGCCGTTAATTGCCTTCACACTGTTCTGGTTATAACCAGCAGACGGATGGTTATAGCCATCCGTCTAATATGGTATATATGTTTGATTATAACCATTGGTGGTGCAATCCCACCACTGGCTATAATTGCTTATAAGCAAGTCGAAACAGAGTACTTGTACTTAAGTACAATTTTCAAGTATCTTTACTGAAGTAGATTTAGAAATGGATACATTCGACTTTAACTCCTCTACATTTTACAGTAAGTATCTGTACTTTTTACTTCAAGGCATTTCTACAAAACCGTCGCTTTACTCGTTACATCCAAATCCCATTGTGCTTTTTTTTTTGATACAATGAGAGGTTCAGGGGGAAGGGAGGGAAAAAGAAAGGAGGAAAGAGGGAAAAAAAAAAAAAAAAAAAAAAACACTTGGTATTTTATTCTATGTTGCATGCCTTTGTGTTTTGTGTTTATGATGTAAAGCACTTTGAAATGCCTTGTAGCTGAAATGTGCTATACAAATAAAATTTGATTGATTGATTGATTAACGGGGCGCTGTAAAATCCAAGCAATAACGTGACTTATTAATTTTGTGTGTCTGTTGTTATCTATCGCCCCCCTTTACCTGAATGAAGTTGCCCTCCCACCTTCTTCAAATCAGGCAAAATTGGTGTCAACGTTTGTGCGACGTGTGTGCTGGTTTGAGCAGCGAAAATGTTCATTTGTTCTCCTATCATTTTAAAAATATTAAGAAATGTTTCGAGAGGTCATCAAAGGTCAACCAGCATCCCACTTTCTTCAAATCAAACAAAATAGGTATCAGTCAACTCTACTATGTTTGTGCAGCAAACATTTTTATTTGTGCTGCTTTGGCTTTGAAGATATTAATGAAATGTTAAAGGTCAAAAGGTCAACCAGCCCCCCCACTTTATGAAATCAAACAAAATAGCCGAGTTGATTAATATCTATTATGTCTGATTTGAAGAAGGCAGGAGGCTGGTTGACTTTCAATGATCTCTGGAAACATTTCTTAACTTCTTTAAAATGATAGCAGAACTAACAAAAATTTTTACTGCATAAACCAGCACAAACGTAGCACAAACGTTTGACACCAATTTTGTCTGATTTGAAGAAGGTGGGGTGGCCAGCTTCATTCAGATCCGTTTCACTCGCACGCAAAGCTCCAAGACATGCGCAGTGGTTTTATCTGAAAGATGTCTGTCTATGTCAGTAACAGTATTCCTACACAAATCCTAAGATATGGCGACATGTAAAATCAGCAGCGCTTCGTCCAACTTTTAGCGTCACTTGGAAAGGAAAGGAAGCTTAAAGAAAGCTCAACATTACTTTTATATCAGGGCGTGTTTCTATTGTCTGACGCATTCTAAGATATCGTTTAGAGGTGGACTCAAACAGCTTGTGAAGACGTGTTGCTGTTTGCACGCCAGAGACCATGCAGGTGTTACCAGGGCCCAGGGATGAATCTATCCACTGTCTAAGCTGTTCTCCCTGCGCTCTTTCCCAGGGCACAAATAATAAATAGATGAGTTCATTTCATAAAGAAACATTTTACTCAAAAAAGCGGGACCAAAGTTTATCTGCTGTCGGTGTTTTTTATCCCTTCAAACCAGTTTCTGAACCGCAAACAGCTCTCCTGACCTCTCCTCTGACCCAATGCATCAAACCGCAGATTTTGATTATACAAATTAGCACACGTTTTATATAACATCTTCAAACTTTTGTGAAACAGACACGAGCGGTTTCAATACCGAATCATCTGTTGCACTCAATATTTTCTGATTAGTTCTCAGCTTTCTTAATTATAATAAATTAAAACAATTTTCAGATAAATATATGACTTCTACAATTTTAAAAATGCAATCTAATATAAAAACTACTGATTAGACTAATTTTAATCAAATCGTTTTCATTATAGATAAAAAAAAGTTCTACTGATCTATTATATTGATTAAACCATGAATCTAAATCTAGCTTAAATTGATGCCTACTCAATACAATCTCAAATTTAAACATGCGGTAAAGTTAAAGCTAGCATTGAAATTAGCATAATGAAATTAAAATTTTCAACATGGTCCAGACAGTTGTGGTTTCAGAGATGGGCGATATGGGCAACCGCCCAGGGCGTTATCTTTTTAGGGTGGGAGGAGACCTCTGTGGATTGTGGCGCAGAGATGGAAGCAAAGCAGAATGAAGAAGAGCTTGAATTGCTAATAATATTGGTTTTTGTACTTTTACTTAAGTACATGTCCATATGAACATTATGAACTGAATCAGTGATAAAGGGCAACCCTTTGTTCAGCTCTCACTAGAAAACACCATTGTCAATGCACAGCAGGCTCTGACACTGGATGTACAGGGACCTAACAGCTCATCTGAACATCATTTGGCCACATGTTTTGGCTCATTATCCTGCTGAAAGACCCAGTGAAAATTGTTTTTCTGTTTTCCGCCAGAGGTCAATATTCTGGTATTTTTAAGAGTTTATGATCCATTGCACCCTAAAAAAGATTCCTGGGGAGAGAAACAGGCCCACAGGCTCACAAATCTTCCATTGTATTTAGTTGGAGGCATGTTTCACTCCAGACCCAGTTTGTCATAAAACTCCATCATTTTATGTTTGTTATTGTTGGGCAGCATGAGGATTTTTTGATGCTATGCCTCCTAAACAATTATTTGGGAAGTATAATGTGTTGTTATGGAGATTTGGTCACAAGAGTGCAGCAGTGACTAAGATCACTGAGACTGGAGATTTTATTTTGACATCCTTTAACATCCAAAATAAACATAGATTTAGGCAAGAGCCTAAAAGACATAGGTTTAGCATTTTAATTATATTACAGGAAAACAGGAACTCATGAAATACTAAATGTAGCTTCTTATACACATTGATTAATTTAAAAGATAAGATATAAATAAAAATAAAACTTTATAGCAACTGTGAATGGTGCCAGTAAGTGTGCTTTGATGGTTCTGTTAAACATACACACACAAAATAATTTCTCACGTCTGAATTGCTTTTTTTCACTCAGTAATACCAAAAGCTGGATCACTGTGTATGTCTATGTGTATTTCTTGGGTGTTTTTTTAATTTTTTTACAGAAAAGGTACCAGTAGCCTACATATAAAGGATGGGGTTCTATTGTTGTATCATGTCTGATGGATGGGGTCAAAAACCTTTGGGTGATTTTAAATTGATAGAATGACCAGATTACATCTACTTTACAATACAAAGTGAATACAAAAATTCCAATTGAATTATTAAATTACTTTGAAACACAGATTTAGAATCAATACACAAAATATCATAGAATTATTCAAATAAGCAAGGCAAAGTAACAGCAACAA